CAGGTGTCCCTGTGATGGACTGGAAACATGTTCAGGTGTCCCTGTGATGGACTGGAGACCTGTTCAGGTGTCCATGTGATGGACTGGAGACCTGTTCATGTGTCCCTGTGATGGACTGGAGACCTGTTCAGGTGTCCCTGTGATGGACTGGAGATCTGTCCATGTGTCCCTGGGATGGACTGGAGAACTGTCCAGGTGTCCCTGTGACAAAGTGGAGACCTGTCCAGGGTGTCCCTCACCTTTTACACAGTGACTGCTGCATATGGGCACCAGTGACCCTTACTACCCGAGCAGGTAAATATGATGGATGGATGGATGGATGGATGGATGGATGGATGGATGGATGGATGGATGGGTGAATCTTTCGCTAGAGTAACATGTCTAACTCTTAGCTTGCAGAATGCTTTTGAACATTTATTTTATTAGCAGGGCCAGAAAGTTAATCTTGTCTCCTGTTTTGCTTTATCCCAACAAAGAACTGTGATGTCCTCAGTTCTTGGGATGAACCTAAAACCATAATTATAGAGCTAAGTAGTGGGGACAAGGAATACTGCTGATGGTACCATACAGTCAGAAGTCTTAATTGTCCACAAAGCCTGATAAATCTGCAAGCTGACAGCTGACCTACCTGCAGCAGTGCCTCTAGAGGCAAATCCATTGAACTCCGAGTATCCACGGACTCCATCCTTCTGTGTCGGGGCCTGCTCTGTGTTTGGGACATAGAGTCTGTCCTGGCTAGGGATAAGTTGTCTTCCTCCATTAGTCCACCCTTATCCTCTCCTCCACCCTGCTCGTCATTGGAGCTCGAGTCACCCTCCCCAGACAGAAGCGAGCGCCGCTCGCCTGTCTGTCGCTTCTGTCTTTTGTAGGATGGCGTGCGACCCAAACTGTTCCAGCTGGATCTGCGGCTGGTCCAGCCACTGCCAGAGCTCCACTGAGGGTGAGGAGAGGAGCCGGTACTGGTCTGCACCAGGAGGGGTTTGAGAACAAGACATACGTCAGGCATGGGATGGGGATGACAAAAAAATGACAGATTTACCATCTCACATCTTGATGCTGAGTATCAGCTTGTCTAAATGAATGTGGTCATTTGATTTTACATCATAAGTTATCAACCATCATTGTTATCCCCATACAGAACCAAGACCCACACAAATTGAACACTGCTGGGATAGTCATAATCCTTGACAGACATTTGTAGTAAAGTTGGTTCTGCAATGTCCTGACAAAGGTTTTGTGACACAAGAAATATCAGGTACTTTTTGTTGCAGAAAAACGATACTTGTACTTACAGGTGACTTCTCATAGCAGGCTGGATCTATAGAGTTGTTGCTGCCTTGCCGGGACTCAAAGCCCAGGATGGGGTCACCTGCCACAGGTAACTTGGGCACAGGCATGGGTGTGGCAGCAGTGTGGGTAATAAGAGGTGGAGTCAGACTTGTCTTCATCTCCACATGGCCATTTACTGGAACTACTAGAAAAATGACAAAAGAAGATTGAAAAACTTGTTTCTTAAATATTATTTACAGAAGTAAATAAAAATTATGACGTTCACGAAATGTGGAGCAAGAAATGAAATTTTCAGAGAGATTTCCCTAAAACCGGATGCCTTGTAATATTATTGAGCAAAAATAAATATTTCAGCAGAGCTTTAATCTTATGAATGCTTTTATCTTATTGAATCATCTCTGTTCAATCATAAATCTCTGTTAATCTGAAGGGAGACTGACTCTACTGTTTAGATCTGTTTCATACCTGGGGTGTTGTATTTGACATTTATTTTGTTATATATTTTTTAAAATGAACAAGCTGGGTCTTTTTGTCTTCCTTACATTTTTTGCTATGACAGCTTTCATCACAATAATATTTCTATTCAACTTTTCAAAACAAGCTCAGTAAATTATTATTGAAACTGACTGATGGACTCTGCTTCTGTTAAGAGAGCCAGTCATATACTCACCAAGTGTGATCAGAAACAGGAAATGGCAATAAATTTGAAAATATACTGTATATGTGGCTATATGCATGCCTCACCTGCAGAAGGTGATAAATCTTTCTTGCTGCTCGTAACATCCTCCATACTTCTTGCAGCAGAACCAATCTCTGAACCTGTTTTCGAAGCATCACCCTTGACAAGTGAAAGCACAAGAAAGTGTTACAAAGAAAATCCTGTAAAATAATTCTGTCTCCTCCAGTGGCATCATATGCCATCATAAACTGAACTCCTACCATCACATAGACACCTAGGAGCTTTGAGTGTAATCTGTAAATAATGCACAATTAAAATGTGAATTTTGACATCCTAAATGTTTGATAAATGTTATGATGTAGTTGTTTTCTTTTATTTTTACACTTATTTTTCTAATCCTAACACAGTAGTTTTGATTATTAAGCTCAACCAGGTAGGTGTGTTACACAAACTTAGCAAAGTAGTTATGATTCATAAACCTAGCCAAACAGTTCCCCCAAAAGATAAATTAAAATAGGATTTAGAAAGTGCCCAAAATGATCCTTTTTTTTTGTTTTTGTTTGTTTATTAAATCTGGTGGTATCAAAAAAGTGACCAGAGCAAAATTGTACATAGAAAGTGGAATAATGTGAAATAAAAATCATTAGTTGACATCTTGTGGAAAGAAAAACACAATTTCCTGCAGTTTAGCATAATATTATGATTAATGTAAAACATATAAATATATATATATTTTTTGAGTTCTCCAGCTATGACAGAACTAACCAGCCAGAAAATGGATAGTCTTTGTGAAGTCTTGGTGAAATCCATAGGCACATTAAGAATGCAGTGGGTTTTGCTTTCCACATGACAGAATATGACAGGTCCACAGTGGGTTTAAGCATGCACAAAATGTGCACAATGGGCTTGTGGTGGTTTATCAATGTGGCGGCAGCAAATTCAAGTCCTGGATGAAGCACAGTGGCAGCATATCTATAAAACGCATTGCCATGGCTTCAGTGCCCTAAGTATGAATCAGGACAGTTCATGTGGGCCCCATGCCTGGACTATGATTGGGATTGTGATAAGGCCAAGGAAATAAAATGTGCATAGACATAATGCTTGTGGTGGTGTTGTGGCAAGATCTTCTAGTGTGTAGTTGCATCTGACTTGCTCTGAGAGAACTGTGTCAGTGTGGACACAGAGAAAATGGTGAGAGCACAGGGAAGCATGTCAGGAATGTGGGAAAATAGCAGGATTCCATCTATACATCCATCCATTATCTTCCACTTGTTCCAAAGTCAGGTCACAGGGGCAGCAGCTTGAGAAGGGAGGTACGGACATCTCAAGGTTCATTATTATCATTTGCATCACATGTGGTACATGAGATGAAACAAAACTGTGTACTCAAGGTCCCAGTTACACCCAAAAATAGCAAAAATAAAGTATAAAAAGAAACAGTATACAAGGATCTAAGGATCTCTTTCCACAGCCACCTCTTCTAGCTCTTCTGGTAGAACTCCAAGGCATTCCCAGGTCATCTGAGAGACGTTGTCTCTCCTGCGTGTCCTTGGTCTTCCCCGGGGACTCCTTCCAGTTAGACATGCCCAAAGCACCTCCCTAGGGAGGCGCTCAAGAAACATCCTTACCAGATGGCTGAACCACCTCAACTGGCTCCTCTCAATGTGGAGGAGCAGCGGTTCTACTCAGAGTCTCTCCTGATAATTGAACTTCTCACCCTGTCTCTAAGGGAGAGTCCAGCTACCCTGCAGAGGAAACTCATTTCAGCTGCCTGTATCCATGATCTCATTCTATCAGTCACTACCCAGAGTTCATGACCATAGGTGAGGGTAGGAACGTAGGCTGACCGGTAAACAGAGATATTTGCCTAACAGCTCAGCTCCCTCTTCACCACAATGGATCAGCACAAAGTCCTCAATATTGCAGACACTGGACCAATCTGTTTGTCAATCTCACACTCCATTCTTCCTCCACTCGTGAACAAAACCCAGAGATACTTGATCTCCTCCACTTGAGGCAGAACCTCACCCTTGACCTGAAGAAAGCAATCCACCCTTTTTCGACTGAGGACCGTTTGGCAAGATTCTTATTTCTAAATTTCTTTGTTGTTGTTATTGTTGTTGTTGTTTTTGCATGTACTAAGAACATATCACTTGAGATTGCCTTCACACCAAAAATGAGTCCCAAATCTGGTGCAATTCATCCATATTACAATAAGACCTGTAAGTCGTGGAGAGAATCATGGGGTTGTCATACTGAAGGAAAGGGAACTTAGCATTCAATTTGCAAAGCAGGTTTTGCCTTGTTTTACTATTACATTGTTTGGGCAGTAATACTGAAATTAAATTTTGCACATTTACATGCATTTTAACCTAAATATGATCTCTTTAACATGCACTTTAATGCTTTTGGTACTTTGTTTTTAGCCTTTTTACTTTGTACATTGATCTCAGTTCGGATTTGTTCCGCCACATTGGCACAATCTCATGTAGTAAACAGAATAAGCAAATAGTACAAATACAACATTTTTAGCCTTTGTTGTCTTCCATCATTCTTGGTTTTCCATTCTTAAGACCCCATCTGCATTTTTTCTCCAGCAATTAGGGCCATTGTATAGTGCACATGACTGATTTTTCCTGACCTGTAAGTGCATGAGGAAATTATGGAGTGCGAGTGGATGCTAATGAACATGTAGACCAATCAACTCAAGGACCACTAGCACTGGTTGCTCTGATCATGCATCTATGCTTCCTTAAAGTTTAAACATCTTGGCTCCAAGCAGAAAACATGAAGCACCTGGAGATATTTTGGATTTAATGAAAATTTTGCTTTGAATTGGCAAATGTAGCATTAGTAGCTATGCAGAAATAGAAAAGAAAATGCAACTGAAAATTCTATTTTGGGGCCCCTTTTCTTTATCCCAATGTCAAAATAATAATAGATAAGATATTTATTTTTTCTAGTGGGTCAATTAAACCCAGTTATAAATATGTCCAAGAACAACTGTCTCCTTAATAATTGTTTGCTTTTACCTTCCTTGGTCAATGTGAAATTTGTCTTGGGATCTCAATTTTTTTGTATTAATTATGTAAGGCAGTTTATTTAAAAGAAACAAGGTAGTTTCAAGTTTCTTGAAATATTTACAAGTGAGTTAAGTCTTTCAGGCTTTTCTTAGTCTTTCATAGTTTTATTTTAGGACGTAGTCTGACTTTTTCCATTCATTTCATATCCAGTTTCAACCATCCATCCATTATCTTTTACCCGTTTCTTCCATTTTGGGTCATGGAGGTCGCCGGTGCCCATGTCTGGCAATCACTGTATGAGGGGCGGGGTACACCCTGGACGGGTCGCAAGTCCATCACAGGGCCACATAGAGACAAACGAGACAAACAACCATTCACTCTCTCACTCACACCTAGAGACAATTTAGAGTTACCAATCAGCCTAACATGCATGTTTTTGGTCTGTGGGAGGAAACCGGAGTACCCGGAGAAAACCCATGCATGCACGGAGAGAACGTGCAAACTTCACCCAGAAAGGCCCCTGGACCGGGGTTTGAACCAGCAACCTGCTCGCCGAGAGCCAGCAGCTCTACCAGTTGTGCCACCGTGCTGCCCCATCCAGTTTCAATGACCAAAAAAAGTGAATACCTTGACACAATTTGTTAAAACTTTTTAAACATTTAAAGACAGAGAGGAAAACTTTTCTGAAATATGAAAGGACTATCTAGGCCAGGTGTGCCCAACCAGCCGCTCGCGGGCGAAGCGAAGCCTTGACTTGTATTCTCACAGACATAGTCTCGCGAGTTTTGGGTGCGGTGACACAGTGCTCTCACGAGACTTTAGGCTCTGTAGTTAATGTCGGTGCGCAGAAAACATGGATGGAAAACTAGCGAACAAGCAAACGAAAACTTATTATTTTCACACAGAGTGGGAGGAGGAGTATTTTTTTGTTTATTCTAATTCGAAGTCCATTTGCCTCATCTGTAATTCGAGCGTTGCCTTACCCAAAAAGTGTAACTTGGAGCGGCATTTCAAGACGATGCACAAACGGTTTGAGACAGATTTCCCTCTTAAAAGTTCTTTACGGACTCAGAAAGTGCGGGAGCTAAAAAACAAGCTTGCAGCCCAGCAATCAGTCTTCACTCGCCCCAGCACAAAAGGTAAAGCTGCTACGATAGCTTCCTACCGTGTTAGCCGCATCCTGGCTCAACATAAGAAGTCTTTCAGCGATGGACAAGTTATGAAAGAAGCGTTTATTGAGGCTGCAGATGCGCTTTTTCATGATTTTAAAAATAAAAGTGAGATCGTAGCTGCTATTAAAGACGTGCAGTTGTCCAGACAAACAGTGACACGGCGATGTGAGGGAATGGCTGTGGATGTGGAGGAGCAGCTAAAAAAGGACGTGGAACAATGTGAGTGTTTCTCTTCAGTTTGATGAGTCGACAGACATGGTGGATGTAGCCCAGCTGTGTGTTTTTATCAGAATGGCCTTTGCAGACATGAGTGCAAAAGAGGAGCTGTTCACCATCTTGCCTTTGAAGGGACACACAAGAGGAGAAGATATTTTTAATGCGTTTATGGAGTTTGTTAATAAAAGCAACTTGCCCCTCTTTAAACTAGTTTCTATAACAACTGATGGCGCTCCAGCAATGACTGGTCACACCAGTGGATTTGTTGCACTCTGCAAGCAGAATGATGCTTTCCCAGACATTTTGCACTATCACTGCATCATCCACCAACAGGCCCTGTGTGGGAAGATTTTAAACATGAAGGAAGTGATGGATGTTGCCATGAAAACTGTGTGCTCTATAAGGGCCATGAGTCTGCAGAGGAGGTTGTTCCGGGCTCACTTGGAGGAGGCAGGAGCAGACCACACAGACCTGCTGCTGCACATGGACGTCAGGTGGCTAAGCAGAGGTAAATTTCTGGACAGATTCAGTGAGCTGTTGCCTGAGATCAGGGATTTTCTGAAGCTGTCAGATCATGGTGAACATTCAAAACTAGAGGACACCCAGTGGCTTTTGGATTTAGCCTTCCTCACAGATCTCATCAGCCTGCTCAATGAACTGAATTTGGAGCTTCAGGGAAAGGACAAAAACATAATCCACATGATCAGTTCTGTGAGCACCTTCAAAAGCAGGCTGCAACTGCTCACAA